TATAGTCTTTATCAGTCTTGAGTGCAGTTCGTTCTGTTTTACTCTACGGCTGCAAAACGTGGCCATTAAGATTAGAAGATACTCGGCAGGTACTAGAATTTGACCACAGATGCCTTAGAAATATTGCTCGTATCTGCAGGGACCACCAGGTAAGTAATCGTGAGGTTAGACCCAGGGTATTAGGGAATGATGGCAAATCAGTTGGTGAGGTTGTAAATCTTCATTGACTGATATGGTTGGGCCACGTGTTGCATATGTCTGAACACCGATTACCACGACGCGCAATGCTGACTGGTGTTGGAGATCGTTGGAAGAAAGTTAGGTGCGGCCAAACCAAAACGTGGCATCAGTGCTTGAAGTCACTAACTTCCAGTCTTAGCCATGTTGGTAGATGCAGACTACTTGGTTGTGGTCCATGTGACTATCATAACCAATGGTTGGAGACTCTTTATCGAATAAATTAAACATGTAACTGAACAGGAAAAAAATACTCAATGCGCTTATCCAGATCCTGTATTGTAATTATGCACAGGCAGAAATAGTGGTCGATTTTACGTATTAGCATTTCGTTTATTTGTGTGCATTAGTGTATATTTATATTATTGTTTTTGTTAACGTTTGTTTCTTTTCAGCCTTAGCTGATGCACCTGTTGGATTTTATACAGATGCCTCATTTATTGTGAAGAATATTATCCTGTTGCGTATCCCTCCATTCGTGTACATTTATTTCTGAACTTCAAAAATTGGTAACTTTACATCCCAAAATATGTAAAATGAGCATATACTCTTTGTACAATCAATTTTACACGATTAGATTGATATGATTTCACTTTATTTGCGCGTATTCTGTTGCAATTTTCCGTTTGAAAAAAGTGACTTTCAAAACAAATAGTTATCGTTCTTTTAATCAAATTAGAAAAGGTGATTTATCAAAGAACAATTGGGGAGTCAAGACTTACTTAGGATTAAAGGAACGAAATATCTCTTGCAGTTAGTTCTTCATTGTGCCTATATATATAGACGTTACGTAATATCCAGTAAGAGATCTGACAAATATTTGACTTCATACGTCAGTTGAGAAAAGGGACCTCAAGTATACACAACCCATACGGCCAAATTAGTGGAATCTGTTGGATAATTCGGAAGGCGTTCAAGTCCACCTGATGTCTCGTATTCAATGGGTGGGCAAGTACAAAACTTCTAGTTAAGTTTAACTGTTCTTTAACCAGATGGTATAGTGTTAGAATATTCAGTTATGAGCCTGCCATAAAGTCCATTCTGTCCTACTTTATGGCTGTGAAACATGGCCTGTAAGATTAGAGGATATTCTTAGGTTACTAGTATTCGATCATACGTGTCTTCGAAGCATTGCTCGTATATCCTGGGACCACCGAGTAAGTAACTCAGTTGTTAGGAAACGGGTACTAGGTAAGGATGGCAAATCGGTTGATGAAGTGGTGAAATCTCATCAGTTGAGATGGCTGGGGCACGTGTTACGTATGCCCAACTACCGACGTGCGATGTTTCATGGTGTAGGAATAGGTTGGAAGAAAGCTAGAGGCGGCCAGACCAAAACATGGCGCGAATCCATGAAGTCACTGACAAGTGAACTGAGCTATGCTGGTAGATTTAGGCTACCTGGTTGGGATCTGTGAGACAGTAGGAACCGATGGTTGGGGACCTTGAATGACATGGCTCAAGATCGTTTGCAATTGCTCAGGTGCATCCACTCTTTGTGTTCTCCCAAATTTTAATCTCCTGATTCCTCCTTGTCTCTTTTTTCTCTTTCCAAATTTATTTCACTGGATTATACTCCTTGAATAACATCAAACCCTGATCTTTCCGATTACTGCTTATACTCTTACTACTTCTACCACTGGGATTTGAATCGGCAATTGTATCTGTGCTAGTGTGTTATGGCAACTCGAACTGATGTACGTACGTACGATGTTTTACGTTATTGACTGACTGAATGCCTAATTGCCATTTTCTGATTACTTCACTCTGTATGTATTTAAGTATGAAGCAGATGGCGTGTAATTCACAGTTTAGCTATCCAATTGGTTTTTCCCATGCGTAGATAACCATGTGATGGACAGATATGTGGTGCTTCATAAATTCATCGTGCGTGAGATTCGATTCTATTGCAGGTATCCCTTATCCCTGTCTGCATACTGACTTACAGTACTGGTCCCAGGACTATTTAGTTAATCATCTGAACTAAAAGGTTATTAAACTACTGTGCTTTCATGAGAATGTTTTTCACTCAGCAATGTCTCTATGCTGAAAGTATTTATTGTGCTGTTTGAGCTAGGTTCATATGTACAGTGTACTCTATCTAGAGGCTGTTCAGATCCCAATTTAATTTCGAGGAAAAAGTACTCATCTTGTAATTTTCCATTTATCAAAATGGTACTCTTGTCTTAGACGACTCGTAAGTTTTGATTTAAATAAACAGTTAAATGACGAGTTTCGAAAGATAAGGAATTCACTGAGAATCGTGGATAAATGCTTGTTAGTTTATAACCGTACCCAGCAAAACACTTGTTAACATTAACATTCACTCTAGCTTCTAAGTTTAGCGAGTTTTCAGACTAGTAATAGAGGGAAATTTGTATTTGACATGTGATAGAGATTAGTTTTGATTAGGGTATTTGGGAAATTTTGTCTAACAGTATTCTTACTACTTATCTAATATAAATCGATTATCCTTACGGTTGTGGAATGAATTTAAGCATAGTTATATCTAAATTTTTCAAAACGAAAAGATTTGACTGACAAAATCTCATGTAACAATTAGGTTCTCATTCCTAACATTTGTTCATCTGCAAGCATACAGCAAATATTTCACTAGACAAACATTTAATCAGAATGGTGGTTATCATTGACAGCAGCATCTACTAAACACCTGTAGAGTTCTTTGATTAGAACAGCAAATAAATCGTGTTAAGTCAAATCTACACTGCGAGTTAGTGTACCTAGCAATCACTTCAGCTGAATTGTTCACCAGCTTTAACAGCATATCTTATTCAGTGTTTAATGAATGTTTATAGTTGGTATGATAGGAATGAATGCATTCATAAAATTTTGCGTTAAAAATGAGTACTCATTCAATGATATTTTATCAGTCGAGAATTTCAAAAGCATGAGCGACTGATGTTCACTAACATTACACTACCGATTGAGTTGAAATTCGAAAGATACCTGTCATTGCGTGACAGTAATCAATGTAGGAAATTATTGACAGACAAATAGAAAAAGACATAATAAAACAAGTAATTTTCTCAATAATTTAGAACATTGATTTGCATATAGTAGAAAACTTTCTAACGATTATGAGATACCACAAGGAATTTGCTAAACTTTAAATAACTATGCTTGATTATATTTTTGTGCTAATTTTTCTAAAAAAATTGTACTCTGTTTAAAGTTCATTGTTAATTGGTAAATATTTATATTTAGCGTATGCGCCACATGAAGAGCGTATACTTCAAAATTTGAATAACAATTTGTAGTGTTAACAAACTGAGTAATACATTGAAACTATGAATAGCAGAAAAATGAATACAATAAAAAGGATAAAAACCATATTGTAATAAAACAAAATGAATTTACTTTACTGACAAAAGAGTACACTGATTTTACGTATGTGTGAATAAATGACAGAAGTAGTAGAAGGAAAATAAGATATGAGATTATGTATACACACATACATATATTCTTAATTATAAAGTTAAGGATAGCAATTTACTAAATTGTTAACTCTTCAAATATCCTACAGGTTTATATTAGTGAACTAAACAAGCGAATATATATATATATATATATATATATATATATATATATATATAGTACTAAATTCTATGCATATTGTACTGTTGCGAAATAATACAAACGTTCATTATGAAGAATATTATTACAGAAGACGATAAAATTCAAGTGATGTTAAGAGGATTGTAGTTTATGTTTAACTGATTGAAACTGTGCACGACTAAAATAGAAGAAATGTGAGGTAGAATTATCAATAATCATTGGTATTAGATGTGAAGAGTTCTGTCCTCACCATAGGTTGTAATTACGATACACGTTAATTGTTTTTTATTTGTTACAAGATAATACAATGAATCTACAGATGTTGAATAATTTTTGTAACAAATTGAATAAATAGATCAAAAGAGGAAGAAAAGGCGCGATCGAGGAAAGATGAAAGAAAAGCCATGAAAAATAGATTTAAGGAAACACAGCTGCCACCTTCAATCTCTCAACATGTGGTTTCTCTTGCAAAATAGCTATTAAACCAATTCCGTAACGATTAGTTGATGTTTTCAAGAGGGCGGGTATACAAAATGAAAGATGGGAACCGAACAGATTATTTAAAGAAAATGATAGAACACAAAAGAAACAGTTTGCTGTTTCAATTTCATCTATTGTAGAATCTAAGCACAATGAAACGGTTCACAAAGATAAACAGGTCAAACGGAGAATTAGAAGTAACGTTGAATTAGTTGTTACTATTATTATTATTATTTAGGATGAAAGGTAACAAGGATTAATCTTTAAGTTTCCACTTTATTAGTATTACACTTGAATTATGAACAATAATAAGTTTCAGCAGTATGAAAGTGTGATTAGATTCAGCATGAAAACGTAAACATCTCATGAGAATACAATTACAATATCTATTTGAATACAGGAGAAGAATGATTAGAAAATTTAAGATGAATAATTATTTATGTAACTAAAATTAAACTGAGTAATAGAGCTAATAAAAATAAACACTGAACAGTGTAACAAACTATGACAGATTTAAAAGGAACAGCAGTTTATGAATTTTAAAGATAAAATTAGTGAGAATAAACAGAATGATTTAATTGTGAGCAAAACAAAGACTTGACACGTTTTACAACTAGATTATGTTTTTTGTTTCATGAAAATGTACTTTATATCATTAACATGAGGATAATCAGCATACATACACACAGAAAATTCAGTATTATTATTTATTCAGAAAATGCAGTGATTACTTCACGTCCTGTTCCACGTACCAATAATATACGTGATAAGCCATCTGTCAATGTTTCAATATAATCCATATAATAATATTCACTCCCTAAAGTACGTGATGGTCCAGGCATATTCACAATGACTAAGTCTGATTCACTTGAGTGAGTGCGTAATAATTCATTTAAACGTACAGCACAGTGTAAGCGACGCTGAGTTCTAGTTCTGGGATAAAGAAAGATCATAAAGAGTATAAAGTTAGGATAAATAGTTTACAATAAATTAGCGGAATTTATTTATTCAAACAAGGTCGAAGGAAAACGAATGTTGATGTATAAAATTTCACAGTATTACAAATGTATGATTGTAAAAATGTATTATGTGTAAGTTGATAAAATTATAAGAAATCCGTTTGTGAAGAATAGGGGACCCAAAAATTTACTCAACAGTTCCAAATGGAAAACGGAACTGCACAAAATAGAAAAGGCGAATAATGACTTTAACAAAATAATTTCCCTATATGGGAAAAAATAGCGACGTTCAGTTGTAAGATTATTGTTTAAAGTCGTATTTTGCAGTTTTTAATAATCAACACTAGTTGTGAATAGACATTGGGTCCATATCCATTTCTACTAATTCAGTTAGTTGGTAAAGTATTTTCAATGCTGAAATTTTAGAGAGTATGGGTGCTTTGATAATATTGTTTTTTGAACTAGACAGTTCAATTGTAAGGGGTTCATTGTCATTTTCGGGTAATATCGGCAGCATCTTCCTCATGTAAATTTTCAATTAAACTATTTAACCCAGTAAACACAATACTAATGATACTTCGAATGCAGTGAAAAAACCTGGTCAGTTTTTACATACACACTGATGCTGCGTTAATATATTGCTGAAATAATGGTAGTTAAATGTCGGTAATTTATGACTAACAGTAAATGGAAATATACAAATCATTTTACATTATGAACAACTCTAGAATTCTTGTTGTTCTTCCGTAACTATTTTCAACTATTCTGTGTATTACATAATCCGAAGCTTACAATCTTTTGTAACGTGTAGCAATAACTTCATATTTACGAAAACGGGATTTTTTAAAATGTTATACAGATATTTTTCTTACATATGTTTATAAATAAAGCTAACAGAACTGAACCTTTTTCGTCAGTACTAACAACCATTAGGATCAATAGTCCATATATTGGTAATTCTAACGATTTTAATGTTCGTTGAGTTAGCGAAATCGTGCTTTTTTTTGAAAAATTGAAATCTCTTTGAAATAGATGGGAATAACAATCTATCATACAATTTATACAGAATTCGTCTCAATGAACTATGAATCATATAATATAAAATAATTGAATATCATTGTGAATTTTAGGTATCAATGCCAAGGTTGGACTTGATAATTTCAAATAACTTGAGCATTGAGCAGAAAGTTAATAATAAATAAATTCAGAGTAAATAAATAGAAAAAAAGGAATGGCTTATATTAAGTCACGAAACGTCAAAAATATAATTTTTCTACTCATTTGGATATAACAAAAATCTATTTATTATTGTAAATTTTAGTTAATAAAAAAGAACTTTATCAAGATGTTTAATACAACATGATTTACATAGTGATATAAAAAGACCTACATTTTTCCTGGATGCGCTTTATTCAATAAATGCTCTTCTTTAGAACCTGCTTCTTTTGCAGCTTTTTGAACTAACTTAGTCAGTGGATTTGAAGGTGAAAAAGTAAATTCATTAATACCACGATTCAATTCTGAATTTGTATCATTTTCTTTGGGATTAGTAGATTTGTCAGATTCACTAACTGCAACACTTGAACCAGTTGCAAATGATACAGTACAATGATGTGAATGATTTGAAATAGAATTATTATTCGATTCAGTATCTGGTTTCATATTTGATGGTTTCGTATCTTCTTTGGAAGCAGAATCGCTACTACTGGTGTTTGTTACATTCTAAAATACGTTAGTTGTGAAATAATTAATTGTAATAATAATCATGATAACAAAAAAACAACATTTATCACCTAATAATATACTATATACTAGAAAATTTGTCTAGAGAAACTCATTCATCTTTTAAACACTGTAGAAGTGAGCGAATACCAAACATCTAAAGATAAGTTCATTGTAATCTGGTCTAGTTTTCGTGAATTTTCAAATTATTTTAGTTCTTTTTTTATCACTGAACTAACTAAAATCTTGTTTATTATTGTTGTCATTATTATTATTACTATTATTACTGTTATTATTATCACTACAGTTCCATTGTACTAATGCGGTGCGTGCTACTTATATTGATATAAGTAGTATATGACGCGAGTCAGGAATGTAATGTCTGGCAGCAGAAAATGGGGGAAGATCAAGAAAGCAAAAGTGGAAATAGAATGCAATTTGTATGAAAATGCAAGGACAATGAAGTCTGAGGCATTTTGAGACAATTGGTGGACATTTTACAAATTAACGATTTGATATATGGTTCTCAGATTTTATTGAGATGCTCTGTAATTTTTTGTGTAACACTTCTGATTATCCCCACCCGTGTTCTTCTTCACAACACTCATACTAACCTAATTTTCATCAATATGACAAATATTCTATTCTATTTGAAGTATTAGTGGTATATGAGAGGAAACATTTAATATTTAGTTAGATTTGATTTGGTTTCTCTAAATAATCCAATCTTTCAAGTACTGGATTTCTAAACAATAATTTCCTATTTATAAGTCTTCTGGTGAACTTTCGATGTTCAGAATACAATTTTCCATTAAACAGTATGGTTAACAAAATGTGCACTTACCAGAATGTACGGGAGCTCAGAATGAATAATGTGAGTTTGTTATTTCCTATGACCCGTTAAATACCACGTGAGAAAACCGCCAATAAGAACACTGACTTATATGACCTTATCTGTGTGCTAAGGCAATGACGAGTCAATCAGCATAAGCAGCATAAATTCAACTCTGAATCCTTATTAATCCTCTGTATAGCAACTTCTCGCCTAGCCCAACCCCTTCATTTCAGAACACAGTATCAGCCTCCATTGTGTGGATCGTATATTACAGACATACGCAGTTCATATATAAGCAGAATAGACAGCATCACATCATAAAATGCAAAATAATAATTATACAAGATTAAGACAGAAGTGGATCTGAGTATGAGATATTGTAACTAATAAATTGGGAATAAGTTAATGTTATATCCCGATGAGAATATTGAACGGTAACTTTTGGGATCCATTTATGGACCAATACTACACGCATATTTTTATTGTATAATTGTTAATTAACTAAACTATTCATATTTGTGTTCCTCCTATCATAAGCTTTGTTTTGACCTAAGAACTATTATTATGCGACTTACCATTCTTGAGTTATGCTCTGTTCATCAATTACTATCTCCCTTATTCACAGCCACATTTGGCTAAATCTTGTAAAAATGTTATTTTCTATTTTATGGTACGATGTGGTCTGTTTGGTTTTTATATAAACCCAGTATGTTTGAAATAAATGATTCATATCGCAGAGGCTGAGATTAGTGTTCTGGACTTAAGAGGCTGGGCTAGGCGGGAAGCAGGACCAATCAGGACTCTAGACTGCTCGTACTTGCGTTATGCATGATTGGTCCGGTCGATAATTCACTGTTCTCTAATTTGCAGTATCATTGCACTATACATTAATATAACACAGGACACAAATTATAACAGTTAACAATGGTAAATAGTATAAAAACAGCTTGTAGGTGCATACTTGTAGAATGATCTGTGCCCGTAATTTTAGGTTAAGAGGATAACTAATTGTTACTACTACAAACATAATTCATGCATAATTTTTATGGTATTTGCCTCTAACAACTAATGTGAGTTTACATGAATGAGATACGTTGTTTAGTAGAAAAGTACCTTCGAATGTCTCATGCTAGTTAGATTAACTTATATAGTCAATAGCTTTCTGAGTGTATCAGAATAAATAGAGGACACATATCAGATGAAAGTGTACGAAACAATGAAAACTGAAGTTTAAATTGTCTACATCAATTCCCAGTTATATAACATAATCTATTTCAAGTTACTTACTGTTTTTTCGGCTTGGCATCAACATTGTTTATCTTACATATAAAGTACTTTCTTTTTTAAATAAAAAATAACTTTTGTCATTCAATTATTCTTTATGATAATATTACTGTATAAACTGGGAATTGATGAAGCTCACTAGAAATAAAATTTTAATTGAATCATAAATATAACCCACTCTCATATACATTTAGATTATCAGAAGATTAAAAAATAAACAGCATCTAATACACAATTCCATTTCACAAATACTTAATGTATATGATTTGATCACTTTCATATATATATATATATATATATATATATATATATATATATATATATATATATATATATATATTAGTGAGTTAATTGACTAACGTGTTCATTAATTACAAATTTTAATCAACAGTTATAACTTATGACCGTTATGTTATCTTGAAAAAGCAGTTATTTGAATTAAACTATAGAGGTGTGTTCAAGGACATGATAAATAAATAATAGTAATAATAGAACAAGATTACTTACTGTTGCATGATCAGGTGACTGATCTGAACTTTCAGTTGATGTTGCTGATATAGCCGGTAAAAGTTTATGAGAATCAATGGAACAATTCGATTTGATGATATCTGTTGGATTAATATCAACTGAACTAGGTTTACGATGTTGGTCAACAATAAGTTGAGGATCACAACGTGCTTCAACATTGGATATTTTCATTTGCATGAGAAGTGCACGACGTTGTTCAATACTAGCTGTTCGTTGAGTGACATAAGCTGATATATCAGCAGTACTCTAAAAAATTAGAACAAATAAATTTTTTGTATAAACAAAACTGAAAACTATGATGTATTATGAGGAAAAAAAGCTGAAACTGAAAGACTATACTATGTATCAATAAATATAACTCAGATAAAAAAGTCTTTATCATGGAAACTCTATGCAAATATATTTATTCATAACTAGTAAAAATCTGAGGCACCTTTTATTTGGTTTGTGCAAAGACATTCACATGCATTTATTACAAATGTTAAAGGGAATTGACAAAGTATATGATTTCATCTCCCATATTCCTATCCTATGTAATTTTCTTTCAAAACAAAATGGTGTTCAGTAGGTAGCGGCTAGCGAATTTCGAGTTTCTTTACTATTTACTACCCCGAAAACTGTTTGACAGAAGCCATCATACTTTTTAAACTCATTTGTTAACTTGATTTGGTACTCTCTAAAATATCTTTAATCATTAATTGATAAAAAGCCATAGATAGTCCCACAAAAATTGTGTTAACGCTCTCATGTTACTTAGTAATTTGTTAGTAGTGTAAAATATTCCTACAAAGGTACATATGTTCGGATGTGAAATTAGTTTTGTGATATTTGGTTTGTTAACATGTCACAAAGAAGTTCGATAGATAGTTATCTAACCAAGTTAATAATACCATTAAGATGCAGAGTAATTAAGCGCGGAATTTTTAAAGATACTTTCCGTTTTAGTGCTAAAAACATAGGGTGTTTACAACAGTATCAACTGGAGATTTAAATTAAAAAAATTAATCACCAGTGAATAGTTTACTTTGTTTTTGAGGAACTTTCTAACGTTTTAAAAATAAATATCAGGTGATAAAAAACAAGTGCTCAAGGTGATTTGAATTTCTTATACGTATTGAATGAATTGGAATTCCAGAACTACATTCCAAGCTGCAAAAAATCAGCATAATTCATCTATAACTATTATTACAAAATATCACATATAAGTTAACTCACCATTGCTACTACTTCCACAGAAGCATTAATTCTCAAGTCGTACATGAACTTGGTCATATCCTTCTTCAGATTCACAATATCATCATCTTCAGTAGCCACCACAAAAATGCGTAAATGGCATTTACGCCATACACGATTACGCATTAACAAATATGACGTTAACAGTAGCAGACCACCATCATGTACAATGCACCAAACATCAACATTTCCAATCATTTGGTTTCCTTTGCTCAAAGGAAACGAATCTATTCCCTTAGGCACTAGCATTGCTATATCACATGCTTGTGCAGCTCTCAAAGTCGCTGCAAAATTTAGAAAAGATGATGAAATAAGAATAATATTGAAGTAGAAAATAGAGATAAACACAATTAAGGGAAATGACAAGTCTATCTCAAAATAGACCTTTTGTAAGTTTTTCAACATTTCAATAGCTTAAACATTTGGGGCTGAATTTCTGATGTGATTCTGATGTGGTGCAGCTTCTATCATAGTAATGTACTTCAAACTAAAACTGATCTTTCTTGTTTAGTATGATTCTTTGTACTCGAGTTAGATAAACTCATTTGATTTTTCAGATATAATTCTCAACAATCTTGATATAATGTATTAAATATATAACTAAATTTTGAGCTAGGTCATATATAAATAATATTAATGTACAATGATAATAGCATAGAGCAATCGATGACTCGTCACCATATTCATAATTACTAGTATAAGTAAAATGTAGACATCAGATATAAAACGTTACACTACATTGTCAATTTGATAAAATAGACTAGACAATCATTTACAATGGATATGTATCCAAAAAGAATAAAAATGTTGTTTTTTAGTTTATCTCGACATTCAGAAAGAACAGTTAAAAAAATAATGCACACATAATCAGTAATTGTTTGATTGGGTGGCTTGTAAAGAAATGATGAATTTAACTAGGAAATTTCCATCATAGATGGACAGAAGCTGAAGAAAAATCGAAAATTAAGGGTTACTTGACAGCTACATTGAGCTGATTTGAGAACTCTCAAGAGCGTACATCCAAGATCATGCAAGGGATGTCACTCAGATCATCCGGTGAGCAAGATACGACCATTAATTCAATATTCCATGGTTTACAATGTCACCTCAATAACAAGTTTTTCATTTCTATCGGATAAGACACTATTCTTCATAAATGTATGTTGCGCTTATGAGGTTTATGAGCATTTTATTCTCTGAATTATAACATAGAACTAGATGTTAATAAATATGAAATAAATACATAGTCAAACTGCAAAACTTACATATAAATTTCGACAATTTACTTCCGCTACTTTTACAATCGACTCGCCAATCTTCAGGATATGACACCATAAGTGTATTGTGACGTAAATTCCCAAGACCAGCACACTGTGCCCTTTGAATGATTAGATTTTAAAAAATAATTCAAAAAGACAGTATAAATTTTGATAGGTTATAGTTAAAGCAAACAGATAAAAATGATTTACTGACAGTGTGGAGCAGCAACAAAATCTGATGAAAAATAAAATAAATGACATTGGTAGACAAACATATTACATATACATGATCATTTGCACGGTTTTTATTATCTATTAGTAATTCAATGGTTGAAATTATGAGTTGATAGACGCGAGACCGACATGGAAAACCTGGAAACACTGGACGGCCATTTCGTCCTAGTATGGGACTGCTCAATTGACTCATGAATTCAACTATCAAACTATTAATAATTTATCAGTCAGATAAGAAAAATTCCTGCTGGTTGTTTTGAAGTTACTCAGATAGATATTTCAAATGCAGATTAAATTAAACAGAATTTTAGCTGTAATTGTCAGTGTTTCATTTTAAATAATTTAATGTAACTTTTATGTAACGATTTGAGTTTTTTATTGTTGATATCAGGAACTGTATTTAGTTAATTTTATTTTGGAGTGTGTGAATCCTGAGCGGACAGCCTCGATAGGACCTTTATCTGGAAGTCTCAGCGAAATTAGATTATGGCTAAAAGTGGGTTATCAAGTAGGACTTGTTAAATGAGTGTGGTAAGATCTCAGTGTATCTATGAGTGAATCGCAACACTAGGAAACAAATATATCCTACAAAGATCAAAACGTGAGTTTTGAGTTCCGCAGCTAATCACAAAACAATTTTGTCAATATAAGCTTGTCTTAAAAATCTGACATAAAGTTCAGTTTCATTCTTAATTACTGGAATATGAAGTAGATAATTTGTTCCGCGTATCTCAATAAATCAACAATCATTAACTCTTCATTAGATCCATCAACGTTTATTTTATTTGTTAAAAAGACTGCGATCGTTAATGAAAAGAAAAGCGATATCAATACAAGATATTACAATGAAAACAATTCACATGTATTCTTAAAAAATATAGGGTATTAGAAGAGCATCAACAGATTTCTTTAACTAAAAATTTGTAAGGGTATCCCAAAAGACCGGAATCTAGGTAATGATTTGAGATTATTCATAGAGTATGTCCCTTAAATTTGACTGAAGTTTTCAATTGAATCAATAATTAAGTAGTTCATTAAGTTGGTCGAACTCAGTAACCGTCGGCTTGAATGTTGAAATAATGTATAGAAATTAGAGTTGATCTGATTGAAATGAATTAAATAAACGCACTGGATGGAAGCACCTCCAGGCTAAAATATATTACTAACTTTCCGTGTAATTGATATTGTATTATTTAGTATAATAGACATTTTCATAAGTAGTCCATTAGAAGTGTAATACTTTCAAGTTCAAAAGTATTTTAAATCTATTGAATTAAATCCTTGATATTAACAGTGAAAGCAATAAATTGTGTCAAGTAGTTAAACATTTTCACTTATTAGTTTTTATATAGTACATAAAGAGATAACTGACAATATAAAGAGTCAATTAGAATTAACTTAAAATTTTTTAAAATCAGTTGTATAAAATGAATATACAAATCAAAGTTCAAGAAGGTTTAACATAATACTATCATTTACTTATATATTTTGTGAAGACAATTGCATAATCTATCTGAAAATATGCCCTAGACACATACTGACACTAGATGAATAATTATTTTTTAAAAAAAACACATGAAATTTCGATCAGATGTTTTAATTTGTTTAAGGACTATTCAATAGTACATAGTGACATGGAATTAAACCCGATAATGAAAAGTTACCATGATATTATATATTTTCAAAACAATCCATAATGTAACATTTTCATAAATTTGATCTAAGTGAACTGTCTAAAAATGATACGAACTCTAAAATTGCATGCAACTTAAATATACAAAGAATTGATATTCAATTTTATTTTATTTTCAATTTTTTCATTTTGTGGACATATTTCTTATTCAAATAATAACATTTCAGAAAACAACTTATTTTTCATGTCAATCAACTTGCGTTCTATGCATTTTCTGATATCATGATTCTGGTAATAATTTTAATCAGGAAATATAGTTATCTGATTTTAATTACAAAAAGATGGATTGTGAAGTGTACGGGGAAAAATAGGTCAGATAAAAAGAGATTGAACAACTATTTTTCTTCTTGTTGCTTATGATTTAAAAATAATAATAATAATAATAATAAAACCTATTCATTCTATAAAGATATGTGGATATCTGATTAGAACTTTATTTGTACTTGATAAAAATGTAAAGAATAACAATAAAATTCGAAGCGAATGTTACGAAGAAAAATGAGTCAATTAAAAAAAGAAGAAAAGAATTAACATTTTGTTTTTCCTAAAATTTATGTAATTTATATTTAAACAGTCAATGGTTTATAAGTTAACAGGTTGTTGGCTAACTGGAACTAGTATCACAATGGATAATATGTTGACATTTAAAGAGAATTGTGTTAGGTTAGAGGGTCAATAAGAATATCAACACCAAAATGTAAGTATATACAACTGACGAAACGAATATATTAGATTCAACTCCTGGCCACAATCCATCTATTCTATAAAAATTAGTGATTAGCGTAGAATGATGAAATAATTCGCCGATTGCATTGTATATTGAACAGCTGCTTACACTAATTTGGAGGAAAATAATGATTTCTAGTAATTTGTAACTAGTTTGTTACACAACAACATTGAGTAAACAAATTAAACAAATAGTGTATATCATCACTATTATTGATTTACACACTTTGATTTCTACTGGTAATTACTTTGCAGTATTACTAGTGAGATGATAAATTTAGAAAACTATCACACGAAGTGACTGCGAGACTGAATTTTATGGTATACAGCACTTGCAAGGCTAATGATTAGCAACTGTTTACATATAGAATGACTTTAAATAGACATATTTCTTCTAACATAACACGTATATAATACATAGGCTTAGTTAATAAAATGATAAGACATTTTTTATTTATTTAGTATTTTAATATTTGAGTTTACCAATGGGCGTTACCCAGTATTCATCACTTGGTTACCTAAAACCAGTACGTTTAATTGAAAAGCAATTCCCAACCGTCATTTACCCGTTATAAAATTAAGTAAAAGGCTGGAAATGTTTGATATTAGAAATGTCTTACTTTTATTAGGTTGGATGGATGCAATTCACAGTTAATAACTAAACAGTCCAAGATAAGCAAAATTAAAGAAGTTCAAAGAATGGCAATGATTGATATTCATTGTTATATACCATCGGAACCATGTTTTATTTACTCCCGAAATGGATAGCAGTTAAAACTATTCACGTTAATCGACAGTATTAATTAGGCAGATTTAGTTGAATCCATCATTATTATAAGTAATCATTTTATTAAAGTAGAGCTGATAAGATATGCATCTGCGTTAGAAAGTTATCTAATTCATTTATTTTCACACACACGTCGCTTATTGACATTTGTCTTACGACTAATTTTCGTGATTTTTTCAATTACATAAATGAGATATCACATTGTAGTTACAACTGGTTCCCATAAAGATACTTTATTGTTGTGTTTAAAACAGTTGTTCAAGTTTCAGGAAAAAAGAATATAAAAGTATTAGTAGTATGATAATGTTAACTTTAAATATTTTAGGGAATAAAAAAATAGTTTGAAAAAATGAGACAAATGAATAAATTAGTGAAAAAGAAAGCGTAATAGTATAATAATTGGTGTTATTTATAAATCTTTCTTCTATTATATATTGTGTTATTGAATGAATTTTATAAAATACTAACTAATGCATGATCTGTTCAAACTTTTATTCATTTCATTATAATAGTTTATTTCCCACTATTATATTATTGTTTATATGAACAAGGGTATAATATCTAGGCTTTCTATTAATTCATTTTTCTTATTATGTCATAATCATCATATTTTCGATAATCTTATTTGATATTCATTTTATATATCAAATATTCTTTATTACTAAATGTCTGTTTTGTTTTGATTATTTATTTAATTCATCTAAATATGTTTCTGGCTATAATCATTTGTTGTCTAATTATTGTTATATACATAAATATTTATGTCACTTCATGGGTACAAATATTATAATCATTGTATATATGTGACAAAAATTATAAACCATTTTTGTCTTCATAATAATAATAATAATAATAATAATAATAATAATAATAATAATAATGTTGTTGTTGTTTTTTATTATCTCAGCATCATTCTGTTAATTTATTCATCATATACAAAAGTTCACTTATATAATTATTAAGTGTTAAACTATATTTGTTCCCTTTATTCTTTCACTTTATTTATATCCTTAATATGATATCATTTTCATTGTTATGGTATTGTTCTCGAAATATTATAATAATCAAATTGAATAAATAAATAAATAAATGAAATAGATGTTATTTATTTTCATTATGAACAAATCATTATTGGTTTAGCATAAAAAGTAATTACAGAATATAATAATTATGAATAATAATTATTATAATGAATAGAATAGTTGAATGATTTAACTATAAGTGGTTTAGAAAATTCTAATAAGTGTAAAACACTTAAATAATACAAAGAATAATAAGAATCATTTTGTCTATAACTGATATTTGAAAGCAAAAAAACAAACAAACAAACAAAAACAAGTTTTGTGTTAGATTATCAGAAATTCTGTTCATTTGGAATTTAGTCAACAAAAAAGTCAACTGAATCAGGTTAAGCAATCTTTCTTTTTTTTCCCCTCTCTCTTTCTCTTAAAAGTTCATTTCATATATTATTTTATAAAATTTAAAGTTGATTCAACTACCTAATAATTAGTTATAAAGATTCACTTTTCTGTAGTGTTATTACTGATTGAAATATGCAATGTAATCATTTCTGTTTACAAAATTAATCAATTAAATTTATATATACAAATTATTTAGTTTTAAATATATTAATCCCTAGTTACATTTAAAAACTTATTTAATCATGAATTCAGTATCTGAGAGGTAAATTCTAAGTAAATTATTAAAACAGGAAAAAAATGAACTAACACCAAAACTATTCATTAAATTTTTAAAAAAAATTGTGCAAAAAAGATTTCTCCTTGGTTTTTACATATTTTTAAAGTTAGTTTTTTTTTTTAAAAGTATTAAAGTTTAAGTATTTCACTTAAAATTAATGGTTAAATCTTCTGAATTCACTCTGTAAAAGTTGAGTTTCCTTATTTAATAAACTATCAACAAACAATAACCATTCCTTTAATAGTAAAATTGCTATTTTAAAAAAAAAAGATTGAAATGATTAGAGAAAAATGGCTTTGGTCACTTGCAAAGATTTTTGTGATAATCCAATAAACTAGATAACCAACATTGGTTTATAAGTTAATGTTTATTTAAAGAATATTATCAGTTTATACGTACCTAAAATTTCTAATTATAAGAGATAAAAATGGCAATTTAGCCAATATTAGTATGATTAAATAATGTAGAAACATTTATCTTAGTAATATACTTGTAAAAATCTACACAAGTTGTACAATTAATACTGAAAATAATGTATAACCTTCAAACATGTACTTATAAATTTTATCGGGACAAAAAGCACGGTCAGTTAGTTATCAGCAAGCAAAGAACCTGACAGATGTACATCGGTCTAAGCTAGTATGGTGATTCATCACACTAGATTTGAATTATGAAAATTAACATTCGACTGATTGAAGCGGTAGTGGTATTAGTGGTTAGGTATATATATATATATAATCCTACAAAAATATAATTGCGGAATAAAATGTATAAATTAAATTCGGAATTGAGGATCTAGGGTTAGAAAAAAAGTAAGTACATCTACGTCATTACTAATGATTCTTAGCCATGTCATCCAAAATCTTCAAATACTGATCACGTTAATCGAGCTGGTTTCAATCGGATAGTGTATTTCTACATAGTCGGTTTAGAATAAAAGTCAATGACTTCATGAACAAATACTACGGTTTGGTTATATAGTAAATAAGTGGGATTTTGTTATTAATTTTTAATCTAAACACCACTAATTTACTTTAAGTAACGAAATACTTAGTTATAAGCAATGAATAACACTTAATAAATATGCATATTTACAATTATTAAAATAGGTAATTTTGAAATAGCTCTCACTATGAACTACTGTCAATCAAATAATTATATAAAGCAATTAGTCCTTTTGATAGATATAGACAGTGTAATAAAAAGACGATTATGAGAATTACATGACATATTAGCAAATATATCACATAATATATCATACAGTTCTGATAATCATCTTCCTATTATACTAAAGAATTATAACTTAACAGCAATGATACTGAGTAAAGCATGAAATTTAAAAGCAGTACATTTATCAAATTGGATATTAATATACACATCTGTCAACAATAATGAAAAGTAATCTTTCGTAAATGAAAAGTTAATTGAAGTTACATTCAAGTAAGTGAATCTATTTGTGATCTGATAATCAACAATCCTTGAAAGTTTAAAGTGCATAAAAAAGACAGTTGACAGTTAAATTTATTAAGAACTAAATAATTTTAATTAAATCATTATTATATGCACAACATAACTTTGAAAAATGCAACAATAACTAGCACAATAATTTATATGAAGTAAAACTTACATATTTTTCATGCCTTCATCAATAGTAGAAGCGACAAGTACTTCAGCTAAACCTTTAATACGATGCTGTTGAATAAGATCACTTAAGTGAGCTTTAACAGCAATCATATCATTACGTCTATCAATAATATCACCTTCTAAAATCGATGCCACCAATGTTAAACCTGTAAAAGTCACAACAACAGCAACAAAAACAGAATCTTTACTTCTAAGCTTAGAAAATAAGCATAATGACCATCATTAACATGTCTACAATTTCCACAGATTTATAAGGAACATACACGTTTTGTTGATTTATTAATTCTATTATTCTTATTCTTATTCTTATTATAGTTATCTTTTATTAAAAATATGTAAATTTAATCATTTGTATCATACTTTATTAAGTTTTCATCTTTGTAGGATGAAATATTTTGTTTGATTCTTAATGAATGTAGAATAGGATACTTACGTGATACAATTAAGGAAATAATAATATGAATTTTCAATGAACAAACATGTTTACACAAGATAAACATAGGGGTAGACGCGTAGAACCACAAAAGATAGACAATCTAAACAGAAAAACTAATACACGTATATACGTACAAAACAAGAAGAGAAAAACTAAGAGATAGAAATTTGAGTTGTGACACTATTGTTCTTTCTATCTGATTGAGATCATGAATCGATCAATTTTAGACTACCATTGAAAACATGGAAGCAGTGGACGGCCGCTTCTATCCGGTATGGGACTCCTCAGTGGTGTGCATCCACGATCCCACACACAGGATTCTAACGTAGAGCCTTTGGCCTAGTGCGCAAACGCTTAAACTCTAGACCAATCAGCCGACATCCAACAATGCCAATGCCTAACTTGAGAAGGAAGAGACCAGAATATTAATTTTACAATTTTATGATTCTGATGAAAAAGAATGAACTCGCATGGTATTGATCAACAACAAGTAGTATATTTATAGAAGTTTTTACAATCAAGAAAGTTATGTCAAATTTTAGTGGGTGGATAAAAATTATTACTAATTTCGTTTAATTAATTTTAAATTATGTGGGAAAGTTGCCGAAATGTAATAGATGAACAACATCATTCAACAGATTTTATTCTTGTAAAATAATAATACTCAATTTTCAGAATATGCATCAAACTAACGACCATCAAGAGATAACTTTTCCATAGATTTATCATTATTGCTTCATAATTTAATAACTTAAAATAGTGATAACTGAGTATTTTAATTTATAACAAAATAACTAGGTTAGTTTGTCAATTAAATCTTGAATTAATAAGACAAAGGTAAATGATAGATTCATGAAACTAGGAGTAAATATTAGTGCGCGTTATACAAGATTTATAAGCTTTCTGTTCAAGGTAGTGTACTTAAAAGATGATGAAATTTAAAATAAATTTATTTAACATTTCAATATGATATAAAATTTAAATCTCAGATAACTACATACATTAACTACTTACTAACTGGTACTTGTTGATTAAATTATACATAAAGAGTAATTTTATAATATGCTTACCACGTTAACTAACTTGAATTAGCACTAGTAAATAAAGAACGTGATATAGAGATTAGTTCGCTTAATTCAATACTAATAAAGCATAGTTACAGTCTGAATAGTTCTGTTGTAAAGTTTTCAACCGTTTTGCACTGAGTGATATATGTTTGAATAATCCAAAAGATAAGGGTTTTTAAATGATTCAGATACATTTAATTAATGAGTATTAACAAGAATGAAATATAAATTCAAGATATGTGGTTGATTTCCTTTAACAATTCAGTGGATTATGTAAGTATTTATTATGTTTCTTTTATTTCCTACGGATATATCTCTCTTTGTTTTTATTCTGCATATGAATAAAGTAATTTGGTGTAAATATTGTACGAAGCTGCAAAATCAGCATTTCAATAAATGTTATGAAACCTATAAGATATTACTGTACACTGAAAGTAGATGGTCGAGACAAATAACCTGACAAAACTATTTGTTTTTGATGAAGCTTGTAGAATACTAACGATAGTCAGGTGAATAGAAACAACAAAAGTGCACCTTTGATGATTCAATTGTTATTATTTAAATCAATGGATTGCAGAAGTGAAATCGATTTCAATTCTTTTTACAATAGCCAAACATCATCATTACGCTACATAAAAAATGAAAGGACTACACGTTGAGTATAGAAACATACACTTAGCTACTTGGATAAATTCAAAGCCAACAAGAACTATAACATCAGTTAAATATAATTCGTGTGCGAAGTTCATGAGGATTGTATTGATATGCATCTGTAGATAGCTACCATACCAATAAGAGCACTTTTAAGTATAAAGTAATTTTGCACTTTTTCATGACATGAGTGAGCCTTTATGTTTATAAGAATCTTTAATTTATTAACTCGTCCGTTTAATCTGCCTTGTAATAGAAAACTTTCTTTAAATAGAATCTCACTGATCTATTTCTATTGCAATACTATTTGTTATGAAAATCACTTTAATTAAATAAAATTAGTAAATTGGATTTATGTTGGGTGGTTAAGGGTAATCGACAAAAGACTCTGTACTGAAGTTTCATGTAATTTGTCACTTGTTAACAAAACATTCTTGTAATCTTGAGGAAACTGACGTTCCGTGGGGTTCATACCAGTGTCACCCAGTTTAACAGTCAGAGATATTACCACTAAGTTGTTCAGGTTGTAACTGGCCTCAGGTGTGACTTACATATTTACAAATGATTGATCACTGGGTAGTGACTAATGTAATGTTTCCCGCTAGAGCTCGATCACAACTAAGGGATTGCTTAAACATAATATTGACCACTAATCGGCCAGCAATCAATCGTAAATGAAGTTATGTATTGTAAATGAAACTTCAAAATTATTATAGCATTTCTACATGAATAATAGTCCATGGACAACAAATAGATCTTACAAACAATGAATAAGAAACTTTTTGGAGACCCATTAATTTTTACGATTTCATGCCGAATATATGTTTATACTAATGAGAGTATTAATTGATCATAAGTAACTAATCACACATTTATAGCTTCACAAAAATATTTCAAAAGTATCATCCATATCATTAAACTGTTTTTCTCCTAAACGAACATGATTAATTTATAATCCTACGAATAACAAGAAAAAGATTATGATGAAGTGCCAAACGTAGAATTAGTAAAGATAATTTCAATGTTCATTAGTGTTATTTAAAGTATTCCAGTAGATCAATAATTTCATAAAAGAAGAAAACAAACTAAATTTAATGTTAATTTTTTAAAAATTTTGTAGGCTTTTTCTTTAAATACAAACACTTTTTTCACCTAAGTCTTAGATAAAACTGAAGTTGACAAACAAATGTATAGTGAATAGAATGTATAAAAATGGTCCAATATAGAAGTTTCATTAGTATCGGTTTAATGAAGTAATCAATACATATATGTATGATTTAATTTGGATCAGTAAGATGATCTATCAAATGAAAAGTATATAACCGAACTTTTATTCAAATGATTTTCCAGAAAGATTTTAAGTATCAATCTAGATTATATAAATCCAGCTTTAGTAGTATTAATAAAACAATGTTCATTTTCTTTTTCTATCCGCTTAAATAATGAATAAAATAAATTGGTTCAAATTTTAACTGGTTGCAAACAATAGATTGTTTTAAAAAATAGAATTCGGTATTACTGTGTTGTAATTCTAATGAAAGAATTACACATCTGAAAATAATATTCATGTATTCAATAAAAAAAAATAGCAGAATGTTCAGTGAATAAATTAAGATTTAGATGAAAAAAGAAAAAGAAATGAGTACATCTACATCATCTAGCTATTTAGGAGACATGCATTTCAGTGCAGACTTTAAACAATCAGTAAACGGAGTTCATGAGTATACATTTAATGTATAATAATGAATAATAACACAGAATATAATCAATGGGTATTACAGAAAGGCAATCTATTCTTTATAGCATAAATATAGTGAGAGACATAAAATTAGTAATTCATTATTATTACTATTATTGAGTAAAACTAATGGAATTTACTTTTCTTTTCAAATAAAATAAATTTTCAACAATCAAACAATTTTAATCAACATTACTAAACTCTTACCATGTCCAGCTTTTAATTGATAAACTAAATCCAATAGACGATCATGACGTGCTTGAAAATTTTCATCCAATGGTAAATAAACTAAAATTTGTGGTCGCCAATTTTTTGTATGAATTGGTTTATTACCAAGTTTTAAAATAGCTTGTCTTGCTGTGGACATTTGTAAACCTCTTGTAGCATCACCCCATTCTTTAGACGCACTAAAATAATAAAAAGAAGAACAATAGTAACAAAGTTATAAATTTATCCTCATTTCCTATTTAAAAAAGAGATAAATTTAGTAAAAATAATGATAATGAAAATGGAGCTCAATGAGAGTATAACTATTGTTATTATTATAATGATTCATGAGTAGAATAAATGTAAAAAAGTCAGAAAGTGTGTATTTGTCATTTTATGTAAGCAAAACAATAATTAATTTAGATGATGATAATAATATGTAAAAATTTAATGTCTTTTTTGTATAATGAATAGAGGTTACTGTTTTCTTTTCCCAGAAATATTTATTCAAAGGTTAATAATGATAAGTTACTGTACAATATGAATAATAGAACAAAGTGAAAGTATGATATAGAGATGAGCTTAAAATTAATGTGAAAATTAAAAAGAACTAATTTTTGGTCAATCGGAAAGCAGGTTTTGTAAATGGATAGTTTCCGACTGAGAAAACGTTTATCTTATAAAGTGTAAACAAGTTTAACAGAATTTGTAAATCTATTAACGTCTTCTACAAGTCTTCCTGCCTGTAAATCTAAAAACATAACAAAATATAAAGATATCCTTATGGAAATAAACTATCCATCATCTCCAAACGTTATAAGAACTCAAAAACACTTTTAAAAGGCCCCACATTTTATATAGTTAGGGTATGGAGTTGGAGTTTTTTTAGCGAATAGATATCAGCTGCAATGTAAAAGTACTCTATAGCTATATCGATAAATTAACTTCTCAGAAAAGTAGTGTTATGTGGTTAGTGTAACCATAAAATATGAGGCTAACAAGTTGGAGTTCATTTTGAGACTAAGGGTTTAGCATGAGTTTAGAGATATTATCAGCCTGCCGGTTATGTACAATGTAAAGTAACATAATTGAGCATTTGATACATTTAACACCATCATTTATACTCTATGATGGCAAAAAGCGATGTTTCGCTATCATTTTTAATATTTGGAGCAGTAATACAAAGGTTTTTCTACTACCCGTCATACGTGATATTTGAATTCCATGAACATCTAAAAGTTATGTTCTCGGTTCTGACTGGTTCATACTTATGCCTTGAAGCATATGGCTTGATTAAAAGGTTATTTTATTTGGTTAAAAACGTTCATTGAATATTATGAATTTTTATTTTATCCTACTCTTATTAAATAATATGAACCATTAGGTTAAGCATGAGATTGGTGCTTCATCTTGAGACAGTATGATAAATAATCGTAATCTGCAAAATGATAACTTAGTGAAGTACATATTTTGAGTATAGGAAGAATTTTCATAGTTTAAACCACAAGTCGGTCTTAGTTAAACAACTACTGCAGACCTTAAAACTCTGGACGGCTGTTTTGTTTCATTATAAGACTTCGTAGCAGTGCTCATTCACGACGTCACACAACTCAGTGATGAATGGGTTAAGAGACTTTGTGCGTGACCTGGGTTAAATCTATCTATCTATGAGCCCCAGAATGATATAAAACGACCGTTCAAAGCCTTCAGGTTTTAAATGGTGATGTAACTGGAACGGATTCGTGACTTAAACTTTGAAAACATTAGGTTATTAAAACTATTCGTTTTATTTTAAATAGTTGTTCATTAACTTAGAAGTGAGTTAGAGCGTTCTGTACAAACTTTCATTCGGTTGCTGAACTGTAAATAGACGATTTATTGAAATTAAGGCATGTAATAATTACTGTAGCGTGACTTTAGCCATGTTTTTGAAAACTCATTTTGTCACCCGCTAACTTATGAGCCTGATAATATGAAATTGCGGTGGCGTATATTTCGTAATATGCATTTAAAATCAATATTTTTTTTACATAGCTTAGTGTAAAAATTGCTTTTATGTTAGGATGATACAAATCGACTACACAAATTAAGATGTGTACTTTCCTAAATAAGAAAATATAACAAACATTCCCAGTGCAGGGTGTTATCAAAAAAACGTTTCACCGTCAAGTTAGGAGTGTGACGATACAAAAACGTTATTTTATAGATTTGAATATTTTATTGCATTCAAAATATGTGTTATGTTCGGTACTTGAATAATGCAGAATACGGTATACAACTACTGCACTCGAACGTATAGAACCCCACAGTCGTAAAATTAGAAGACAAAAGAAAGTTGGAGAAGTGTTTGTTGGGTAAGAATCAAAATGTACAAAAAATCATGGGTATTTATAGATATTAGCGTTTGTTATAACATCATTATAATTCAGTCAATCCACAAAAATGCAAGTTATGCTACTGTCCAATAGTAGCATGCCACGATATTCTGATTGGATGGAAACTCTTCGGCTCCTTTAGATCCTCTGAAGGATACGTCGTAGTTTTCGGAAGCCGTCCCAACAATAAGAAGGTTTAGAAACTTTAAAAGTAACAACTTCAGTAGCTGGGTAAAATAATAAAGAGTTATCACTGATGATAATGATGATAACGAAAAACCATTATGGAGCGTGTAGTGATAGTGGTAAAATAATTCACCCTAGTTATTGCCTTTGTGGATGTAGGTGGGTTGATTTAGTTATGTGACTGTAAAACATGAAATATTTGGTGAAATTAAGTCACATTAAGTATTTTTGTCGAAGGTTTAAGGTTTCGGTTTTTTTATCCTTGAAAAATTCACAACTGGTACCAAAATGCCTAAAACAAGATGTTATGTGCATAAATACTCCATAAAGAGTTATGGAGTTTCAATTGAAATATCCTTATAATTACAAGCCTACGTTTTTACACCTCCACTTCAAGAAAATTACTTGTACTAGAAAACTAACCTACAATAGACGATTTTTGGTTTGATAACGCTCAAAAGAATAAGATTTCCTAAGTGGTATATCCCATGTTGATAGTTTATTCTAGACTATCGTATCAACCTAGAATTATAGGCCATCAAGAATAAAAAATTTGTACCGGAATTAGCAAAGAAGTTCTAATAATTTGAAGTAGGGTATAATAGTGTGGACAGTTCGTAAGAATTCATGTGTGATTTAATTTTTCCGATCTAACTGATAAATTATCAATAATTCTAGCTACCAATTTTATGTACATATTCAGTTGGATGATTAAAAACCTATCATCAAAATCCAGATATAAGAAGAAAATCTCCATATGTATGGATTAGTCAAAAGTAGTTAACTGAAACTATCCTTCAATACAATTATGGATTTTCGAAAGTTTCCTAACAAAATGAGGTTATCAGTTCAAGTATCATATGAATGTATTGAAATAACTGATTGATAAAATTTGGCTAATCTCATTATTATTAAGGGCTGGATTAATATATGTATACATTCATTTTATCTTTCGAAAGAGCACTTTTGCATTTTTCTTCTGGTCGAAGTTATTCATACACCAGACGATTATATATATATATATATATATATATATATATATATATATATATATATATATATATATATATATATATATATATAGCATAATTTCACATAATTGTCAGTAGAAAAATACATACTTTAGAGAAATCAATAAAAAAATCTGTACTAAAGATGAATGATAATATAGTTAATCCATCAGAATCATTAAAGTTCAAATAAATACCACATAAAATTGCACATAATTTTGACTTGACAAGTAATGAAAATTCTACGAAACCAATTCACAAGATGAAGTTCAGAAATAGCTACAAAGTCAACAGATTATCTATTACCAAATGAATAATCTTTAATACTTACAATGACTAGAAATATGAATTGGTGATATGTTTTTGTAAAGACTAAAACAAAATAATTATCCATTTAACAAATTATCTGAAAACAAATAAGTAGATACTTGTTGTAAAGTATTCATCAACATTTTTTTGACATGATGGCTTGCTTGAATACCTAGGTTACCTGTTTCTGCCATCTAGATGTTTCAACAAGTTATCTGGGTTTTTTTTTGTTTTAACATATCACTACGTCGATTAATCGCATAACCTATTCAGGTGCGTCTATGAAAAGTTTACAACATTTCACTGTGCTAGTTACAAAAACGTACAGTTAAAGACATCGTGGTTGCTGGTAATATACATTAAAAACAATGAATATTATTTAGATATCGACTTCTGAAATGCTAACATTTAACTCGTGATCACTCAATATTTATTGTCAATATTGATCAAGAAATAAGAAACGGAAACTCGCTGAAACACTTTGTGCTGAGAATTCGACATTGTACCAAAAATTTACTGTTGAATAAAGCGATTAATAATAATAATATAAAACAAAATAATAGTTTGATTTGTATGAAAAAGAAAGAATTAAATAAATTATAGTTCATCTCAAAGAAACAATCTCTAAAGGGATTAGAATAGCAAATATGAAATAATTTCAAGCATAAGACCAGTCTAGCTGTGAGTAAATTCAGTTAAGTTTATGATCAAATGATTGATTTATCAATAAACTATTCGAAATGATCAAATATTAAGAGATTTCTGCTGATGTACCTGATCAATCTTCAACTACTGATTTCATTCAGTAGTCGAATTCAATTTCGTTAATTTTACAAAAATTTACCTAAATTATTCAGTGGATCCTAATGGTGCTGGTCTTCTTTCCAGAAAGGTTAGTCTTACACATCTTGTGTGTGTTCACATTAATCTTACATATTTCAGTTCAATTTCAGTCTATCATTTTTAAAACTATATTGCTTTCTTAGATTATAATCATTTTCAGTTCATGAATACTAATCAAATGGTAGATTCAGGGTTCAGTGGAGACATACATTTTCATTGGTATACAGCTATATCCAATGATATTATGAATTTAACAAACGGTATATCTCTGACTCAATCATTAACAAATATATTTAAACTACTTAACAAGTTCAACTTAGAGAAATTACATTTATCGTAAAATCTACAAATAACAATTACCAAATCGATCCCTAAACAAAACAAAATAAAGTTCGTATGCAAATAGATGAAATAAACGTTATCTGTAATTACTTTCTGCTTTATAGTTTATTATTTGGAGAGATATATTAACCAAGTAATAATAATAATAGTGGCATTGTCGATACCATTTATAAGATTATACTGAGATTGAGAAATAAATGCTTAAAACGAGGAGAAAAATGAAAGAGTAGATTGACAAAGAAACAGTAAATAAGCAAGCAGATATCAACAGCGATTAATGGAATGACAGTAATATTCGTGAGTAATAATTATAATCAAAGATGAACGGTGGCTAGCAGTGGATTTCAGGACGCGCGTTTGATCCCATCTGGGACTCGTCAGTTAGATTTACCTGCATCCCAGAATTGATGTTCACTCTGAGACTCACACCTAGTACCAGTCACTTCAAATGCTATCGCGTTATCCACTTAGCTACCGAGTCCTGGTAGCCGACTAATTGTGCAATGGAGTGAAGTTTAAGTCCAGCCGACGAGTGTTAAATAGAACAAAAAGCGCGTCCTGGATACCACTGCTAGCCACCATCCATCCTTAACTATAAAGCTTGTGACCTAAGGCAATATCGAGGCAGTCCGCGCATATGCCAGTAAGAGACTGATCAATTGCAGTCCTTATCAACAATGGGAAGATACAAGCAAGCGATACAGAGTGAATTTAAAAATTATAATGATTTAAAATTCATTTTTAAACGTTGCTTTAATGTTCTCATTGATTATGTCGACTATCAGCCACCATCTAACTCTGATTATCGACAACTAGATTATTGAAAGTGCAGTTGGAATATTTAGTTTACCATTTATCACATTTATTCTGATCCTTTGAATTATATGAGAGAACACAGTTTTTCATATTGACTTTAAGGGTAATGCATACTGATGACAGATAAAGATATAAATTCTGTGCAATCAGTGAAGTATATTTGTTTTTTATAAGTAATTCTAAAAATTATAAATCTGTATCAAAGTTAGCAAAATAATCATATGACCTTGACGCGACTCAAAAGTTCGTCGCATCAATGTAAAAATGAACTGTCTGCAGAAATGAAACAGATAAGTTACAGTGACTACTATTAGCCATGGTGATGGTAGTATTACTAGTAGTAAATTAATTTGAAATTATGTGTTTGAACACAAAACAATAATGAGATTGATTGATTCATACATGCATATAGTACTCTTGTTCAATTGACTTTTAAATAAGTGAGAAAAGCTAGTTTGTGTTCAGAAATTTCGAACTAAATGAACAACCGTAAATGACCTTAAGATTTCGAAAAGTTTAGAATACATAATAAAACAAGTTTGTTCAGTTAGATTGGGGAAGAATGTGTTAGTCAGATTTAAGAACTTAAAATCTTTTTAAGATACTGACTGTCTACAACGCATGACTTGAACATATTTTAGTTTTCATTAGGATTTGGAAGATCTTGTTAAAATTCAGATGAATACATTGCATTTTGTTAAAGTATACATTCTGAAAGTGTATAAAAGTGAACTGTTTGGAAGTTTTAATTTTAAAAAAAAAACTCATCGAATAATAATGATGTGTCATGAATACAATAATATCAGGCAAAAACCTCAGGTCTGAGAGTATAATTAATTCCAAGTAAGAACGGGAGAGAAGTAAATATTCAGAATAAATGATTGATTCATTCAACAACAGTATTTAATCAGTTCTTTTATTGTACTTCGGGTATAAAAAATGTTTATTGAAATTTCAAAGGTTAAAGTCAATTTTATTAAGAAAATTGATCTTATAGTATTGGGGAAAATTTGCATTGTCAAAAAAATTACATGACTGTTTATAGTTCCGATGGAGTGTTCATCAGTAGTAATTTTCCGCTGGTAATATTGCCGTAAATAAAATCTTCATTGTTACAATATACCATTAACCAGAGCTCAAGTAAAACATAGACTATTAAAAATATCTTGTTTATACTATTTAATAAAAATAATCAGACCTAGTTTATTTTTATTCTAAGGACAAATAACTAGGAGCAGATATCGATTTCTAATTAACTTACAGTTGATTATTGATATAACAAAAAAGAATATGGTTTGCATCTTGGGCAGTTTTATATTCAAAGATCGATCTGAGCTGTGTAAATTCTTCTCCTGGAAGTCAAAGTATTTCTAACCTCTAGTAGCGCTTGACGGATATGTGGATAAATATTGCATAATAGTATGCTTTTTCCCTGTGACGTTTCTAATCGTTAACGTTCTTGACGTAATATCTGTCCAGGGAAGCAGTTGTGCAACATATATTCATTCAGTATTCCTATTGAGGGATATTTACTACCAATGATATAATTTCGATTAAAAAAAACACACGATCATCAGATAATTTCAGTGAACGCAAGCGTATCTGTAATCGTTCTGATCAACAAACATTAACTCTGTAGATACCCAATTAATGTCAAAGTATGACCACTAAGGGTAAACGACATAATATTGAACTTTCATATTCATTATGACAATTAAAAATATCCTTTAAATTTTTTCCCCAGAACATATAATTCATACTTTTGAAAGGATTCACATGAACAGAAATTAATGTGTTCTCTTCAACACTAAACGTATTAGGTAACTTTGAAGATAATCATCAGAAACACGTTTAATATCAAGTTAGTTTGAACTTGTTGTAATTCAAATTTTATAAAATTTTCCAGACATTTAACGAATAATGGTTACGGAATTCAATTTCTACATGTCACCAAACTCGACTATTAATTGAGATCGGTATTCCAGGGAAGAAAACCAATTCCGAATTGGTGGCAAAAAGTCTAAACTGAATAAACACAACTTATCTAGGTTTATCTAGGCATACGAACCAATACAGAAAGCTACAAACACACAAAGGCACAAGAGTACAGAGGATATAAATAGGAAATTACAAAGAAATCAAAATGTAATAAATAAAATTCCCTCTTAAAACACAAGGATTGATCGATAGATAGATAAATGACAACTTACAATAGTGGAATAAAGACAAAAATAAATGAAAAATATACATTCATGCATGTATGCATGATATAGTATAAGAACTAAGAGAAGAAACAAAAACCATTGCGGTATTTAATCAAGTGGAAATAAGTCATACTGATGACGAAATACTTTAAATAATAGGTTTTCATAAAAAAATAGATAGAAGTAAAGCTTTAAATACAACCAAAAAAGATCTTTCAGTGTTATGACATGTAATAGCCTACAGGTTAAAGTGATATTCATAGATAATTGATAACACAGTAACAAAGACAAGTATTTTTGATGATTGTTAAAAATAGAATTTTAATGTAAATATGAAACATGTTGTAAACTCGCTGGATTCAGAAGTAAGCAATGACTAGTTACTAGTTACGTATTAGACTTCGAACTATAGAAATAAATTTTCATAACTGGAAGATTGAAAAATTAAATAATATTAACATTGTAACTGAAATAAATACTAGGAGCGACTGTCACCCATTGAAGACGTATTTAAAACACATAATATAAAGGTGAGCATACCATAAGGTTATGTGTACATGGTTTCTATGGTATAGTAATGATGATCATTATTACATCCAGAGCTGTGAAAAATTAGAATAAGAAATTCAACGTTGTGTAGTGAGTAGTTTGTAGACTGGTTATTAAAATTTTACTTTTTTCTATCGAGTAATTTACATATTAGATAGATTTATCTATGGATTTAACTTCATCATACAAAATGAAATTTTTAAAGAATAATAGTAAACTACATAAATACTGATGCAAACATGAAAAACTATTTTATTTATATTAGTTTACCTTAAAAAAAGTAATACAGTTCATTCATATGTAATTTACCCGTAGATACAAGCACTTAGAATAACTAAGAAAACACCATAGACAATGAGTACAGATGTTACATAAATTCAATGTTTTCACCTATAGTCATTGAATAACCGAATGTTCAAACTTTAAAGGCAAAACTCTTAACTAGTGAAAAATGAATTGATTGGAAATAATTTAATCAATGAATCGCAATGAATATAAAATACTACTAAAAGGATTATAGTATATTGGAAATGATTAAAATAATTTTATTTCAATAAAGGAAATAAACTTACCCTCTAAATTCAATATATTTGTAAATAGCAAACGCTAACGCCCAAGCGACAATAGTGTAATACCAACTAGATATAAACATTAACGCAATACATAGACATAATCCGACAAATGAGAGGAACCTTGAAAAGAATATGCGAAAAAACAGTATATATTAGGTTGGATAATAAAGCAAATGTATCCGAATTTAGTCAAATAAAAAAGATCGATCGATAGTTCTAGTGAGATTGAATAAAATAAAGTAAGTGAATTGAAGTATTATGGTAAAATTAATTGGCTTCTCAACTCGAACAGAAGAACATCATGAATAAACTGAAAGGTTTATACCTCCGTCTAAGGATGTTTTGTGTTTCAATATTATAGATCAAAAAAGCAAATGAAACCGGAAATAAAAAAATCAAATTGTAGGATCACTTTATCGTTCTTTATTTACTCAATTATAACGTCTATTTTTAACCTCAATGAACTTGTTAGTGTATACAAAGACAGGAAGCAGATTTGACGTAGAAACTGCTTTCAGTATAGTGTCATTTACTCATAGAACGTTTTTCATTCAATATCATCGATTAGTTACTGTTTTACTCTTGCTAACAGTTCTTTACCTAAACATAGAATACGTTTTAAACTTATGGAGAGTAACTAAACAGTCGGGGTATTTGAAATTTAATTAATTTTATTATTTCTGTTATAAATCGTTCCAAGTAAATACCTATATCCTTCATTATATCAGAGGAAACTAACCAATTATAACTTCACTAAAGACTTCAGTCACATGTCCACATGTACTGGAAAATCATTTTTGTAATGCAACCATAAATTACGTTAAGTTTTATTGATTGAATATTTGGAAGACTTAATAAATGACGGATTATATGTACATATATAAATATACATGGAGAGAATTCTGACAATGCAGAAATATAAGGAAAGAAATGTAAAGTGAACACAATCAAATAAAGTGGAAATAAACCAACACAGAGAATTATTAAAAAACGGTTGATTAATTAACTTCGACGAAATGATAAGTGCATTCATCTGTGTAAACATTATAAATGATGGATTTTAAGGAATGTAGCTCAGTGACCGCAACTATTAACTTCCGTTATCCACATGACACGTTTAACCAGTCAAATTGGGTTAGTGACAAATAATAACTAACATGTTTCCTGAATTCTTCTGATCTTCAAATATATGACATATTTCCTGTTTTTTTTTTTCATTTTCGTCAAAATAACTATGAACATGATTTATATTATAGCGCATAAAAAAAGTAAAATAGATATGCATAACCGATTATGACATTTGTATATTCATATAATCAAAAATAAATTTTAAACCAACAATTCCAACCTAAATACGGATATATGCCATAACCATAAAGTCTATGCCGAAAATGGCTAACATACGCACACATATACACCAATATATTACCTATTAAAAGTTGATGATAACGTGTAAAGTAAAAGAAAGAAAAAAAACACAAAATAATAGAATCAATAGTAATAATTTATCTGAATACTTAAACACATTTACTTCAAAAAAGGAAATATATATAACAGGCTAAAATAAATTTGAAAGGTTATATGTACAAATATCATATTTTAATCCTAAAATCGATGATACAATTATGTACTTTCTGAATAATACAAAAATATAAGTGAAAAATGAATTAAATTAAAATATCACACTGTTTATGGTGGGTTTTTGAATATCCACGTTGTTGATGTTGAGGAGGGTAATTAATCAGCCTCTTTCGGTATTTAGCATTCTATGAGGGTTCTCTCGATGATGTTATCAAGTCACAAGCAATTTAAGAAAAGATGTATGCTGGCTAGCTGCTAGGGTCAAAGCTATCACGAGTTCACTTAATCTGTGAACGAGAAACAAGACTCGGTGACCAAAGACCAGTAAACTAGCTATGATGCGTCTTAGCTCCGCTAACTAGAGGAAGAAGTCCAAGCTTGGAATGAGGAAGTATATTGGCAAACAGCCAGAAACGAGCGATAACAACAACACAATTCAAAACGTATATACAGTACAACACCGTCCTTAGGGAGAGTTACCAAATAGCATACTGAAAGACGCATCGGACCAATAGCATTTACGATATTTCCCAGTGAGAAATACGACATGAAGGTGACAAGAGCGCCTTTGGCGCGAAAACAAAGAAATTCAAACTTTCTAAATAAAATTACAAAATCAGGTCCTTTTCCAAGTGAGTTCTGAGGATCTAACGTCCTCAACACTAGCATTGCAATACAGAACGCACATATCTTCTTGTTTTGGACTCGTTAGTCGAATATATCTGGATCCTAGAATTGATTTTCACTCCTGGACTCGAACCGAGCATCATTCGCTTCATACGCTCAACGCTTTATCCACATAGCTACTGGGTTCAAGCTCTATAGTGGATGTCAACTTTGGGATACAAGCACTTCCGGTTGATGAATCCTAAATAGGGATAAACGCGTGTCTTTAGTTCCACTGCTATAGCCATCATCCAACCCTGTTTAAAATGTTACGTAATTTAGAAAACTTCATTTTGCAGTGATAGATAAACTATCGAGTGACAATATGTAAAATAATTAGATTGTTAAGTATTTAATTAAAGAATAGTCAATACTCCGAGAATATGTTCAGTTATTCACAACAAAAAGTTTGGATTAAATTACGAAAGTCTTCAACACTGGAAATTAAGTTCAGTTTAGCAAAGCACTCTGTGACTATTCAATCAAGAGAATTAGTAAAATTATGATGGATATCTTCGTGTTATCAAAGATTAACTAGGTTGACAAGGAAGCAAAATGCGTGCTGACAACATTGAATCAAAGTATTCTTATGGTTTGAATAATCAAACTTAGCAAAGCATGCCTAACATGTTTTCTCTATTTTTCTCAATATACCAACCGATTACACCATAGAATTATCACTTTAAAACGCTCCATACTGCTCAAATATTAGGTATAAGGTTCCGATGTATCTAAGTTGTTAACAGAGTATTTATCCGGGGGAAAACACATCATACTATTATACAGTTATAGGCCAGGTATATACAGATCACTGATTACTAATCATATTGAATACAATGAAAGGCAATGTGAATGAACAATACAGTACGATTTAATATTCACGTGGTCTACTAAGGTATATTATCCCCATAACTACTGATTCAACAACTTAACTGTTGTGGGTCAATACATACACATACGTGAACCATGAATGTTTGTGTTTTTCATGTGTCAGAAACATAGAATTCGAATTTAGTATTATAATTTAGAGATTAATCTACCAGGTGTACAATTTAGATTCCATTCTAAACTAAATAATTACTGTATAACTAATAAATTCCATGAAAATAGAATAGTTTCTAATAACCGTCCTCAATTATGAACAATCTGTGTAAAATGAACCCCTTTAACTTAATGAAATAATTTCAAAAGACGTTTAATATAAAAATAACATAATGTTATGATCAACACGTAGTACACATCGTATAAATTTAAGTCCCTTGAATTATTAAATTAACCCTTTATAATTTGTGAGTGATTCAGCTTCACATATAGAATAGTACTTTTAAATTACTTTCTTTTCATAAATTTTCTACATTTAGTTTTGCATATACGTAACAAAAACAAACGCATATATATGACAAAACGGAATAATTATATACATTTATAGAAGACTAATTGAATAGTAATTAGATTTTATTTTATGCACGCATATATTTGCATGTAGACATATATAAAGCTAATTAAGACAAACGATAAAAAAACGTAAACATATTCTTTATAAAAATATGAATAATAAAAAGGCCAAGGTAAAATAGTTGTCACAGCGTGCTTACCAGGAAAAAACAACCTACTATGATTTTCTTTGTATAATGTCTTAATAGTAAGATAATCATCAATTTAGATGGCATATTGTTAATGGAGTAATTCTAAATAAGTCCAAGTGGAAAGGAGTGCGCACAAGAGATAGATGACTTAGCTACACTAGCTTCATATTTTATAAAATAGAAATAGTTAACTATTTGTAACTTCTGACCACCGATTATTGCCATAATTATATTTTGATTCAACCATAACTTTCGATGTCTCATCCATGACGTTAAATTTGAAACAGCGAAATCATAATATATCGACAAACGGATCGGATTTAAGATAGCGAGTTTTAAATTTTGACGTGAAATGTATTCATTCATATGATTAAATAGTATTTCGGTATCATAGCTGTTGTCAGTTTGTGATGAAAACTCTTACTTTGATTCCTAACCCTAAATCCTATCTGTTCATCCTAATCCTACTTACACTAATTTATAATCTATTTTTGACTCTAAAAGTTAGGAGAATCTTCTCAAGGTCTCTTTGGCGTCGTTCTAAGGTCGTTTGTAAATTATAATCTCACCTTCAAAACATATTTTGCCTTGTATTTAGTGCCCTATACTGGATATAATAAGCAAGATACACTAAGCGATAAATAGTAGTTTTGTTTGCATTGACGAGAATATGGATCTAAGCACAAAAGTATATAGTTTAAAAATTTAGATATCTGTTTCAGAATAATCAATGATTATCTGTAATGTATCAAAGTCACATGGTAAATTTTACTAGATAAGAGATGTCCTAAGTACTTCAGAGCTATCCATTAGAAGTAACATCTTGTAATAAAATAATGTTTTATATGAGTTTCCAACAAGTGTTTTATCAGTCCTTTTCACTTTAGTGATACGTATCAGGAAATTAATCACAAGAAACATAACGCCGGAAATCCTACGTTTACTAATTTGCACTAATATTCCCGTAATTAACTGAAACTGTATTGTGAAATGGCATGGGGTTAGCGTCCCCATCCCGTAGAAAACTAACTCGCTAAAAAACGCTTACCAGAAAAAATTATTCAAACCACTTAAACTCTGCCCTGAAAGTTAGAAGGTCTTCATTTAGAAGAATTATGACGCTTCATGGTGAAAGCCGACTTCCTTCGGAAGCCACGAAGCCGATGCTTCTTCTAACAACCAGAGCAAAAATTTTTATAGGTACATGGAACGTCCGAACAATGTGAGAGGCCGGGAAGACCAATCAAATAGCTACGGAAATGAGGAGATACAACTTGGCAGTACTGG